GGTTTCCCTTGCATTATAATACAGAGTACACACTGGAGAGGGAGAGAAAGGAATAGTCAGAAATACCACACTAGAAGGCTTGTAAGTCCGTCTTTTGCCTATGACTGATTGGAATACCTAAAATGGGGCTACAGCGTACCCAGTGAACGAGGCTTCTTGTGGAGCCTTTGCAATACATAAAACTATAGGTACATCCAGATCTCGAGAGATGAGAAAGCTCCACTTGAAAGGACAAGCAAACCAGCCTGGAACGGCTAGAATAAAAGATACCTCTTGAGAGAAAGACCTGTAGGAAAAACGGAAGCAGATGGACTGTTACTACAAGAACAAACAAATTGCTTCCCTAGGAAACATCAAGGCAAGTGGCCAGGTCCTCTCAACACAAATCCCATTCCAAGACTAATACTCAACGGAAATGCACGCTCTGATTGGTGACCACACACATCACCAATGGGGGGACGTGGGGTAAAAGCATCAAGCGGCAAGCTAAGCCCTACAATGTTCAGTGGACTTCTGTGGACCCAGTTGGCAAGCAGTGTGAGGAGACCTGGGGACTCTTGGGCCCAGAGTCAGTGGCGTGGCCATGGAGGACTCGAGAGGAGAGTGGAGCTACCGGCTGATGGGAAGAGAGGACATTTGCACAGGAGCGCCCACTCTTGCGGATGATACCCACGTGACCTGGACCGTATGACTGGATGATCGGAGCTCAACCAGGAGAGGAAAGAAGAGGGAAAAAAAAAGAATGAGCTGATACAATCTGATGAACTTGACCTATACCTATGGAGCAGCAACTCAAAAGAAGGAACAAATCCTTACAGCAAGAATCATTCCCACCCCCTCCACACAGAGAGTGGACGGAGATGGGCAAGTTGGACATTGGATACTCAACTGGGGAGGGGAGGACTACAAAGGCAAGAAGTGACTGGCATACAAACTTTCAAGAGGGAACCTAATGCTAGGGAGCATGGAAGAAGGCAGAATCTCCAGTAGGTACTACTCAATCTGTCTGGGCGGAGCTGATGAAAGAAAATACAGAAGGGTAACTCGTGATACTGTAGTAAATAATGCTTATGAGGACGGATTTTGAGGGTTGGAAATGCAAAGGTAGACGTTTTGAAACAAGGAAGGGAGTGATTAATTCTCCAGGCCAGGAGTGGAGGTCTCTGGGACCATCAACGGAGAAGAGCCGAGAGCGGGACCCTACCCAGAGAAATAGAGATGCCTGAGATAGAGACAGAGATGACGACGTGGAGTGATGAAGCAGCTGGGGACTTTGGGCCCAGAGAGGGAAAGGGACTGTGGGCCAAAAACTGGTGTGTGTGTGTGTGTGTGTGTGTGTGTGTGTGTGTGTTTAAGTGTAGAGGACGGGTTTCTAGGATATACCCTTTGGTTGGTTGATGAT